TCCATTTTCTGATATCATCTTCAATCTCTCTTTTCAGGGTGCTATAGTTTTCAGAGAAGAGGTCTTTGATTTCTTTTGTTAGGTGGGCCAAGAAAGTTTTTAAAAATAAGCAGCAGCTGCAGCCTGGTTGAAACATGCCTATGACTTAATTTCAAACTTTGTTTACGTGAGCCAATATTCCTCTTTATTGTTGAAGCCAGTTTGAATCATTTTCTGGCTTTTAAAGTTTTTTTTCTTCTACTACTTGTAACCTAAAGCATCCAAATTCATATGGCCATCCTACAAAAACTGCTACAAATTAACCAATCATAAATATTTACTTGACATTAACAAATAAACCAGTGGAGAGATATTTCAGAAACTGAGCACCTGGTTACTAAAAGCCCAGATGGAGATAAGGAAAGAACATAACTATAGTACCAGCAGTTATAGTGAGTACACCTGTGTGTCAGGCACCACATACATGTGATCTGAAGGCTTTCTGTGCTTATCATCGTGGTCTTTGCAGGATTCTCCTAATATATGAACTAATGTTCAAGGAATGAGAAAAATGATGCTAAATCATTGATTATTTCTAAGAAAAAATATGGATTATATGCAGGGGATTTAGCTCAGTGGTTCCGCTGCCTGCCCCGCAAGTGCAAGAACCCGAGTTCTATCCCCGGTACCAAAAAAAAAAAAAAAAAACCCCAAAAAACAAAAACCATTTATAAAAAATAAGGATTATAAGGTAAACAGAAGTAAAAATATAGGGCCGGGGATTTAGCTCAGTGGTTCCGCTGCCTGCCCCGCAAGTGCAAGAACCCGAGTTCTATCCCCGGTACCAAAAAAAAAAAAAAAAAACCCCAAAAAACAAAAACCATTTATAAAAAATAAGGATTATAAGGTAAACAGAAGTAAAAATATAGGGCCGGGGATTTAGCTCAGTGGTTTTGCTGCCTGCTGTGTAAGCGCAAGGACCCAAGATTGATCCCTGTATCAAAAAGTTTTTAAAAAAAGAAATAAAAATATATTTAGATAAATGTAAGATAAAATTAAGAAATACAAATTATAAAAAGTTAACCGTCCATAAGACCATTTAACTACAAGAAAGATTTGGATCAATATTACAAGTATTGAAGATTGAATCTAAGATCTTTGCATTGAGCTATATCCACAGTCCTTTTTTATTTTTTGACACAGTCTTAGTAAATTCTCTTAAGCTGGATTCAAACTTGTGGTTCTCCTGCCTCAGCCTCCCAGAGTGCTGGAATTACAGGAGTGTGTCATCACAGCTGGCTAAATATGAGCTTTTTTTTTTTTTCTGGGTACTGGGGATCGAACAGGAGTGTGTCATCACACCTAGCTAAATATGAGCTTTTTTTTTTTTTTTGGTACTGGGGATCAAACTTGGGACCTTGTGCTTGCGAGGCAGGTGGCGGAATCACTGAGCTAAATCCCCAGCCCAAATACGAGATTTTTGAAAGCATAAAATTCCACCTGTTAACTTCAAAGAAAATAGCCACAGTCATAGTACAGACAACTAGGCCATACTTACAGAATGTGCAGGCAATCTTCTAAATACAATAACAACTCACTGATTCCTTAGAAAAGTCCTAACAGACTGATACTAACATTATGTTTGTTTTCCATCCTGGGAAAGGGCAGCATAGATATAATGTGCCCAACATCTCACTAGGATGGGGTAGAACTCGATTTCACCCTAAACTTGGTGGCCTCAGAGCCCATGCTCTGAATCACGCTATGGACTTTAAAAAATGTAAAAGTCCTGCAAGCACAACGCTATAAGATCTAGTTTGCAAGGCTAGGAGTCAGGAAATCTGTCTGACAGCTTGGGGTAGCAGAGAGAATGAATGCAGTCTTTGGCACCCTCTCTTGTGGGGCCTGGATTCAAAACCAGGCTGTGTCTTGCCAGTTCTGTGACTGGGGTCTGTCACCATGCTTCTCTCAATCCCAGATTTGACAAGATCTGCCTTCTAGGCAACTATCAGTACCAGCAGGCATTTTTACTTTCTGTTTTTACCTATGGACATTTGTAGTGAAGCCAACACATACAAAGCGCTCTTACAAAATATCAAGCAACCAGTTCACTTTAGAATAGCCAATTGAAATTCAAATGGACATTTAAAACATTGGCTTGTAGCAGGCAAAGCTTGGGCTATAGGCAAGTCATAAAAGAAAATCTTCAATACCAATCATTTTCAAATCCTTCTACAGAGACAGGTAAGATACTACAACTGCTTTACCAAATAACTACACAATGCCTAAACAATAATGCTATGCAAAATATTGATAGGGAGTTTGAATATTCTAAACAGGAAAAATATTAAAAAGAAAAAACAATATTTTAAACCACTTAAATTATACCTACCATGTCTGCAGAAGAACTGAATAACAACTTTGCACTTGTCAGATGTGGTGAATATTTTGCACTTCTCTACATATCTTTCGAATGAATTTACACATCTAAAGATGGGTAGAATTGACTGCAACACAATTATATTATACATATTAAGAACATACTTGATTTTTTCAGTCTTTGTTCTTTTCAGTACTGAGAATTGAACTCAGGACCTTGCACTTGCCAAGCAGGATCAGCACCACTGAGCCAAATCCCTGGCCCAAGAACATACTTCATATAGTTGTTTGGTTCATTTTTTTAAAAAACTAACAAAACAGAAGTACATGTTTTCATCACTAAATATATTTGTCCTGCATGCCATTTAAACTGCTAAGTATAGAATATGTTATATCTTATATAACAAATATTTCTCCCATAAAACAGAGAACCAAGGCCACTTATATTTACCTTCATTCCCAATTTGCAATTTAAATACAACGATCTGCCATCGTCATTCATTTCTTTTGAGGCTGACCATTGATAATGTTCAAAAAACACTGACGAGAACAGGACATATCCACATGCCGACGAAGAAGAATTTAAAGATCTTAGAGCAAGCTTGAAAAATAAAATAGCTGTTTAGGCCAAAGCCAACTTTCTTTAAGTGATAGTTTAATTTTTTAAAATTCTAATATATTTAATGTTATAGTTAAATATGTTCAAATAAGACCATGCATTATACTATACAATGTATATTAAATTTGCATATATCTATACATGCATATGGGTACATATCTACATTGCATACATAAATCTTAAAAATCTTGCACTTTAAAAATGTAAGTGCCTGTAAGGATTTTTTAACTTTAATGCATGAAGAGGTACAAGGTAATATAAAGGAAGCTACATCAAGTTAGTTGTTCACATCTTTGTAGTGGGAAAAAAAAACATTTCTAAGATTGAACCAACTAAATTCCATTTGGGAATACAAGCCCAAAATTGTCAAGTCTTTTGAATTTTAAGAAAAACAGGAAATTCATATTTTTACGTGGTCTCTCTCAATTTTTGAATGTTAGAAATTATTTCAATTTGGGGTGGAAAGGGTGTTGGGGATTGAAACAGGGCCTTGTGATTGCTAAGCACACACTCTACCACTAAACTACACCTCCAGTCCTTCAAAAACAAAACTGTCCCCCTAAAATATTTCTCTTGACCACCACTTAGTGACTTCATGCTTAAGTCAATTATGTTTATCTGCATGATTTTCAAGTTCACTATGCTATAAGTACATTCAGATATGTAAAATAAAGTTGAACAGTGAAAGGGATAACTGTAATTTGGGAATTTCCTGGTTAATATTCAATCTGGACTGGGATCTTTAAACACCTTCGCTTGCCTGAATACACAGTCTATTACTTAACATTCTTACTTACACCTTTTTCCGATGGGTCTAGCCACAGCTCATCACTCACTCTTGATAGAGCTTGGATTGCTTTCCCAAACACTGCAGAGAAAAAGAAAGATGCTGTTTACATTCTTTTTAGCACTAAAATATATCATAGGACTACTTCAGCAAGCAGAGGACTCAATATAAATTCAAAAACAGTGGGATCTACGGAACAATTTGTTCCACCAGGTCAAATTTTTCAGTTGAACAATTTATTCCTGCTCTGTAGGTCAAATTCCTGGATAAGAAAATAGGGGCTTCTGGTATTGTAGATACTACTTATCAACGTGGTACTGATATTTGGAAATTGTTGGCAAACATTCTACCGAAACTTTCTGGTCTATTTTGCAACACACAGTTCAGCCTGATTCTACCATTCCCTCTGATGCATGGGCTGTGTGTACTTGTAGTCACCCTCTCTTTTGGCTTACAATATGTTCAGGTTAACATAATGATTTCAAGTTCTGTTTCGTGTCAAGATTTATTACAACAAATGTAAATCAAAGTGAAGGCATGAGAGGAACTCATCCCAATATGTTGAACTTATATTTGGTCAAATTTATTCAGTGCAACAGATCTGGAAATAATACTTTCAAATCCCTTTCCCTGCATATATCAGAATAATTTCTTGTCAATTAATATGCTGTTTGGCTTTTAGTTTTAGTACAATTATCTAGGGAGACATTCTTCTATTGATTACATATAAGAGACAAACTGTTAAACTGATCCATACAGCATTTTACAGACTAATGCTACATTGCTTTAAGAAATACAGGGCAGGGCGTGGTGGTGCACGCCTGTAATCCCAGCAGAGGCAGGAGGTTTGCAGAGAGTTCAAGGCTAGCCTGGGCTACATAATGAGTTCAGCGCCAGCCTGAACTACAAAGGGAGACCGTCTCCAAAAAAAAAAAAAAAGAAAGAAATACAACATAAGGCAGGGGATGTGGCTCAGCAGTAGAGCACCTGCTTAGCATGTGCAAGGCCCTGGGTTAAAAAAAAGTACAGTGTAATATCCTTGGAAAAACATCAGTTGCACAGCAAGAGCTCAGTAAATTTGAATAAAATTCAACAACACTCTTTCTTCTACTTGCCATTGTGTGGCGCTCTTGTGTAAGGCCAATTTCCAAAATAATGTATTTTAAAACTTGGTTTAAATAAATATAATTGCCAAAAAAGTATGGGAAATGCATGGAAAGAATGACTTTAAATTTTTAACAACTTAGATGGCAATGTCAAAACAAGTTATGATAGAGAAACTAAGAGTATTCAAAATGCATCTTTAGGGCCGGGGATTTAGCTCAGTGGTTCCAGTGCTTGCCTTGCAAGTGCAAGGTGCTGAGTTCAATCCCTGGTACAAAAAAAACCTCAAAACAAAATGCATCTTTGATGTTTGAGGGTATCTTGGAAGATGCCAGATGTTAGCAAGGAAGCTGCCAGACTTTCCTATCAAACAAATTTAGGTGCCCTATCAGACAGAGAGGCTAGGGCTAGATGAAATACTGGTCTGACCTAGTATGACACCATTAATGCTATTATGAATTATGAATAAGTAAAACCATGACAAATAGATATTGGGTAATATGCTGGACAGCCTTATTAATCCACCAAAAGGTATAAAAATTGAAAAGTATTTACAGAATTTAAAATCAGATTACAATGCTTAAGAATCACAAGTGTGTATTCCGAGAAAGATAAAATAACCTAAATGAATATTTTTAAAAGTTAGAGGCATTTGTCCTTTTTCCCAGTTTATATTCAATTTTTTCTGGACTAATGCAGACTTTTCAATCATCCAATGACTATCTACTAAGCACCGACTATGTTCAAGTAAAGCCCAGTGCAACAGGGTTACAACAAAGAGCAAGACAGGTTCAGTTCTTGCCCTCCTAGCACTTAAGGTGTCCCAATTTGTCCCCAACACAGGGGAAGCCAGCAACAAGATACCATTCACTCACTGATCATTTTCAGACTACACTGTAATTTGTAGGAAGCTTTTACTTTTCTAAATACTTTCCAGATTAACTTCAGTTTTTGGAGGACTATTTACAATGAAAATAGTGTCATACACCCCGTTATTACTCAGCTCTTTTTTGTTTGGTTGGGGTTTTTTTGGTACCGGGGATTGAACTCGGGTCCTTGCGCTTGCGCAGCACGAGTCGAAACCACTGAGCTAAATTCCGGCCCTACTCAGCTCTTCACATTCATTCCAATTTGATGTCTACAACAAACCTTATTGTTACTAATCTCATTTTACAGATGAGGAAACTGACCTCCAAAGTGACTTAGTGGTTAGTCTTAAGGTCCTATATTTTAAAATGGTAGAATCTGGAATAAAAATAACTTTTTTGTTTTTTGCTAGGCACGAATACTTTTACTGACCATCCATTTTTTTTCTCTCAACTGCTCCCCACAAGTCCTGACCATCCCAAGTTTGAGGTCTGATGGTACAGCTAATTTCTTAGACACTACCCATACTAAATACTATGCTTAAATAAAAAGAGATTGGGGGCTGAGGCACGAAAATTGCCACGTTTGAGCCCAGCTTGGGCAACGTAGTAACTCAGTGAGGCCTTGTCTCAAAATAAAAAATAGCGTGGGGATGTAGTTCAGTACAAAAGCCCTTGGCGTAATCCCTAGTACCACAAATAATAATAACAATAAATTTAAAAATAAAAGAGCTGGGCCTTTATCTTTTTGCCAGAAGATTGCAGGACCCTCCAGGGGTCCGGCTATGGCCAGGCCTCCGTCTTCAGGTCTTGTACACAGAGACAAAGAGGAAGGCTAGACCGATGGTGGAAACGCTTCATGACCTTTAGGCTTTCTCGCTTCTACAAAGGAAGGCAAGAAGTTGTTCACCTTTCACCTGAGTTCCGCTCATTCCGCACTTCAACATGGCTACGGATACTAAAAGGCAATCTCAAGGCGTGCCTCAGCGCAAAGGCCCCGGGTACCCGGATGTTGCCCGAGCTTTTCGAAGCTTCGTAACCTCATTCCTCTAATTTCAACCCTGCCTCCACTAATTTCAAAAACACAGCTTCGCTTTTCGGCAGGAAAAGGCCAATGCGGTCCTCCGTACGATGGTCACCCGCCGACCTCGTTTTTCATTGGTTGTGGGAGAAGTGGGTGGATCACGGAGGAGCCTGAGGAAGAGGGTGGCGGCAGTGGTGGTGATTGAACCGAGCCGGTTGACAGGATGGTGAGCCCTGAAGCTGCAGCGAGCGAGGCCTGGGTCTTGGCTGGGATGCTGTGTTGTGGGGACCCATGAGGAGAATCAGGGCGAGGGCTTGGGCTCCCGGAGGCCCTGGTGGGCGCCGCCACGGCGCTGGGGTAGGGAAGGCCCAGGAGAGGAGGAGTAGGGAAGGACAGCGGCTACTTCTGGGTGCGGCCGGCTGTGGCCTTGCCGCCTTCCCTAGGGGCCAGAGGACGTCCTAGAGAAAGCAGGGTTCCTCCCAGCTGCTGGTGCTGTCACGAGATCTACGCTCGAGCTGGGGAAGGCCTTCGGGCCTGTAACTAGAGCGTCCCCAGAAAAGGGACACAGTCCTCCACCATTTCCAAACGGGGAGGCGAGCGGTGCTGGTTAAAGCTGGCCTCACGATACAAAATGGGAAATAGGAGAATTCACTAGCCGTTTAAGTTTACCATCCAGAGAAAGGGAATGAAAGGAACCTCTTCCCTCTGAAATAAAGTGCAGCTACCGCTGGAATGTGGTGTTGCGCGCTCAGAGGCCAGGGTTTGGCCCTTAAAATGCTAGAACTACTGGTTTCTTCTGGATGATACGATTCCTTAGAGCAAAATTCCTTCATGGTGTGTGAACTCCTCGAAAGTGTTTGGAAATTTTTGTGAATTTGTGCGTTTTGTTGGGGATAGGACCAATGTTGGTGTCTGGGGTGCTTGGGGAACATTAGTTCATTTGTTCCACATTTCCCCAGTACCCCCAACCAGCTTCAGGCTATCACCCCTTATCCCCTAGTAGGTTGCTACCCCTGAGACCTTCCTACAAAAAAGCTGGGGAGCTGCGAGTGGAGAGGGCTCACAGCTGTATATTTGAAAGTGCCCTGGGCTCTAAAAAGTCAACTTTTTCCAAAAGAACTCTGATTATTTGTGTTGGTGGTGGTAAACTGTTAAGGAACTTCTCTCTCTGATAGACATCCATTGCATTTTTAATATTACTGTTCTGTGACAAGTATTACCTTTCAAGAGGTACCTTACAAATAACTGTAACAGTCAAAGGTTTGTGGTAGTATATACTTCTTTCCCCCAACCCGGTTCTGGTGGTTAAATCTAAGACCTTCTCACTGAGTTTCATCCCCAGCCCTTATATAAACTTTTAAATTTTGAGACATGATCTCTCTAAGTTGCCCAAGCTGGGTTTGAGATCCTCAAACTTGAGATTGAACTTGAGATCCTCTTGCCTCAGCCTCCTAGCATTATGGGATTACATGCATTTGCCACTATGCCTGGCTCCTTTAAATGCTTTAATCTCTCTTGATTTTTTTTCTTCAAAAGAAACTCTCGTTAACAGTAATTTTGGACAAGTACATTTTGTCCAAGTGAAATGAAATAACTACTTGCCATGATTCCATATTCATGTTTCTGAAGTTGTTTTGAGAGGTGAACACATTTTTAGAGTTAGTTGTACTGTAACATTACTCTTTGTAATGAAAAAGAATTGGGCAGAATTTAGGATCAGCCAATTCTTTCATAAGCAAAAGCATTTTATTTAGCAAAGGATTCAGAGATGTTTAACAGTGTACAGTGTCCAAGGATGTGAACAGAAAATTTAGATATGGGAAAGGTCCAGTTTTAGCTGGATGAGAGAATTAAAATCAATATACTTGAGGGATAATTAGACCCAAGAATGTAGAAACTGTTAGCCTATAAGCTATTACGATGAAATTTGCAAGTTGTCTCATAAAAATCTAAATTAATAATTTTATTTTATATAATCATAAAATTTTAACAGAAGAGAAACAAAAGGAATGTACGTCAATGTGGAGAATAAGATTAGGAAAAATTTCTGGGCATGGTGGCACATGCCTGTAATCTCAGTACTCCAGCACTGAGGCAGGAGGATCACTGTGAGTTTGAGGCCAGTCTGGGCTACATATTGAGTTCAAGACCAGCCTGAACTATATATAGCAAGATCTTATCTCAAAAAACAAAACAAACAAAAAAATTTTGGAAAAATAGAAAAAATTGGCATGACAAATTTATTTTGAAAAGTACTGTATATACATTTGTTTCATATTTTAAAATACAGCAAATGGTTCTTTTGGTATTTTGAGCACAGCTGATTTTTAACATTTTCTTTCATAACACTCAGAAATCATTAACAATTTTTGCATATTCATTTGGTATTGATTTTTTGTTCTTTTTTAAGTTTGTTTCCTTTTGTTGCTTTCTTTTAACATTGGTCATGTCTCACCCTTTTTTTTTCCATTCCCCTGTCTGCAATCAACTTCTTCATTCCACTAAGACTGGGCACAGAGTAAGTTTCTTCTCTTAGCTCCTACTAACAACGGTTGTTGGGCAGCTGATTTCTAACTGGGTTTCTCATCCTTTTAAGATCTGTCAAATAAGAAGTCACCAAAGCCCCATGCTTTTTGGTTTTTTTTTTTTTATATGAATTTAACAAGACTGCCTTTCCAGGATCTTTTGCTGTCTTAAAGAACTATATAATCTATGTCTAACCTGATTTTGGGCAAGGACACTATTCAACATACATTATGTGACCATATTTCACTTATAATTTTGTCACCAGCAGGAAACCAAAGGATTCTGTATAAAGATTTTTAATTAATTTGAAATCATTTCTGTATGGTCATTTGTACAGTTATAGTTTTAGAGTATTAATAGTCTTGGGTACAACTTGGAAATAATGCACAGTACTTTGTAGAATCTACGTTATCAGTCATTGTAAAGTACTATGTTTCTCTAATGTTCTTCCAAGTACGTTCTGATTGAATAGCTTCTTGAGGGTTTTTTTTTCTTAATGTAGAAATCTATTTTTTACCTTTTTTCTCAAAAGTTTGCTATACACATTAACTATGTACAATCCATATCCCTCTCTAAAATGAAGATTGTTCTTTATCAACATACTTTTGTAGTGATTACCAATGAGAGTGGAAACTTTGTGTTGGTTTTTAGTCTTACAGATGTTTTGTCCACTAAGATCTGTATTGAGACAATTAATAAAAGTTATTTATCAATATCAGCTGAAACTATTCTTTATAAAGAGACTTATTTAACAGTTTTTTTTAAAAGTGTGCTGATTTTGCAGCCTTGTGTTACTCTATGTCCTGATAACAATTCCTTTCCTTTGCCATAATTTTAATTTTTGTTGCCAGACGAATCAAGCTTGTTTTTTTTTTTTTGTCTGTTTGTTTTGTTTTGTTTTGTTTTGTTTTTTGGTGCTGGGGATTGAACTCGTGACCTTGCGCTTTCGAGGCAGGCGGCAGAACCACTGAGCTAAATCCCCGGCTCTCAAGCTTGTTTTTGTAATTATTTTAATTTCACATATTTGTTTTTTGATTAATTCCAGTTTACAAAGTCTGTGGTGACAAAACTAGTTTGTTTTATCCTGTTAGATATTTAATGTTTTCTTTGATAATATTAAGTAGTCTTGCCTCTAAAAGCAGTTAAAGAACATATCTGTTAATGAGTGGGATGTCTGTAAGGCAAACCATCCTGTACAAAATGGGGGTGTTAACTAATCAACATGAAAAAAGTTAATTCTGTCATCCTTTGAAGGACAGATACTGTTTTAAAATAAGCTTTGTAACAATCTTCTGTTAAATCTCTGCATTAAAATAATATTACTGTATTTCTCAAATCATGAAATTTTATAGGATGGGAGATTTTAAATTTAAGAACAAAATGTATTGTCATCTGAGACTATGTTGCAGCTAAACATTTCTTGCTAAATTCATCACTTATTTAGCTGACTTCTCTATGTTAATGCTCAAATGCACATGAAATGTTGTGGAAATGTTATTTTTTAAGTGTGGTAACTATACTAAGGGAACATAGTTTAATTCAAAAATAAAAATGAGCAAGGAAGTCAAGGGAAGGAAACTGAAGATACCGAAGATCATAATTTAAAAGCACATGTTCATGTATTGAAACTCTGAAACAAAGGGTGTTTTTTTATACCTCTGTAATATATGGCTAATAGTTTGAAGTAATAAAAATGGTAAATTTTGGCCACTATTCTCTAAATAGTCAAGTAGCTTACCAGAATTATTATTTTTCTTTATCACATTTTTAATAATTCCCTCTAGTGATGTTTCTGGAATTAATGTATAAGTTTTACATTACAACTGCAGAAACATGAATTACCCTATCAGTCTTCAAAAATGTCTCCCCAGCCCTACAAAAAACAAAAATTCTAAGCTGGGCATGGTACAGCTTGCCTACAATCTCAGTATTTAGGAAGCTGAGGCAAGAGGATCTCTGTGAGTTCAAGGCCAGCCTAGGCTAGTGAGTTCAGGACCAGCCTGAACTACATAATGAGACCTTGTCTCAAAAAAAATCCCCCCAAATAAATTAAAAAACAAAAATTCTAAATTCCGCAGGGCCCAATACTATACTTTGCATTTGTGTTTTTGTTTTATTCATTATACTTTATAGATAGCTAAATGAATCAGTTTAGAATGCTTAATTTTATTCTTGGTAAGTAGAATGATTACCTGTATTGTATATGCACAATTTTTTATGACCAAAACAAAATAAAATTGATATAGGACACATTATGTTCCCATGTTTGTTTAAATGGCCATGATAGAAACTATATGAATAATGTCTGTTCTGTTGGGTTCTGGAATCTCTGGTGAGTTTAACTTTAAAGGGGAGTTGTGGGAGAAGAATGACTTGTTTGGACCTCATGTTTAATATTACTCCTTATCTCACCTTGACACTTTAAAGTTGGTGTTGGTATTAGGAGACCTGCACATCCCACACCGGTGCAACAGTTTGCCAGCTAAATTCAAAAAACTCCTGGTGCCAGGAAAGATTCAGCACATTCTCTGCACTGGAAACCTTTGCACCAAAGAGAGTTATGACTATCTCAAGACACTGGCTGGTGATGTTCATATTGTGAGAGGAGACTTCGATGAGGTGATGTATTTCCCTTCCCTTTCCCAAACATTTCCCTTTTTGATTCTTACTTACATAAGCTTGGTATTTTAGACCAGGGTTTCTCAACTGGTAAGGTCTCACTCCCCACCTTTTCTTAACAAATTTAAAATTACAAATCAAATATTTTTGCATCTGAAATGCTTGGGACCAGAGTGTTTTGGATTTCAGAATTTTTCAGATTTGGGATGGAGGTGGGTGGTGCAGATTGACCCTGAGTATTGAACTCAGGGCCTCTGCCCTGAGCTACATCCCAAATGCTTTATTTTTTTATTTTGAGGCCAGGTCTTACTAAGTTGCCCAGGCTGGGCTTGAACTTCCCATCCTCCTGCCTCAGCCTCCCAATATGCTGGGATTACAGGAATGCACAACCATGCCCAGAATATTTGCATATACATGATGAGATATTGTAAGTGCCTACATTTTAATTATGACCTGACATATAATGCCAGGTGTGTGAAATTTCTACTTTTGGCATTGTGTAGGCACTAAAAGTTTTAGATTTTGGAGCAATTCAGATTTTGGATTTTTGGATTAGGGACAGTCAACTTGAACTACATTTTCCTATCCCTTTCTGTTTGAAAATTTCTGATTTAGACTACCCAGTAAACATACTAGTTTTAACTATATAAATTGGAACTGAGTAAAAATGTTACTCTTTTTCGTAGTATATCATTTAATGTTTTTGTTGTTGTTGTTAGACTGAAACAGCTTTAGTATCCTATTCCAAGCCACCACATAACTTTCCCATGTTTCAGCTTCCTGGTTCTAAATTTCGTCACTCCTCTCCTGACGGCCCTTCCCAAAGCTGCCTTTCTCAAGGCTTGTCTTTCGGGCAGGAGAGTTTTGAGGGAGCAAGAAAACTGTTGTGTATCTTGAATGTGGTGGGGCCTACACACCTGTTGGCATTTGAAATGTACACTAAAATGAGTGATTTTGCTATATCTAAATTATACCTTAACAATGCTGACTTTTTTTTTTGGTACTGGGGATCGAACTCGGGACTTTGTGCTTGTGAGGCAGGCAGTGAAACCACTGAGTTAAATCCCCGGCCCTAACACTGACTTCTTAAAGAAAAAAAAGAATTAGGATCTGTACCGTCCCAATTTGGCCCACTATTAATAAGATGTTTCAGAAATTATTTCCCTTGTTGACACGAATAATAGAATAGATGATTCAACCCTTGCCAGTGCTAACATCGTATGATTTAGAATGATAAACCTGATTCCACTATGAAAATTTATTTTGTACTTCTGGGAATATAATCTATTTCATAAATTGTTTAATTCAGTTGGTGCTCTAACAGGGTTCCTTTATGCCAAACTGAATGGACATAGTATGTTCTATTTTTTTAAAGGGGGTTTTAAAAATAGTTTGAGTAAACTGTAGGTAGTATGGAAGGTAGTTTGAGTAAATTATAGGTAGTATGGAAAGACCAGGAAAATAAGGAAAGGGATAAACTTCTTGTTAATAATTAGGATATAGGTCTGTTTATTAAATACATATTAGTCTATCTGTGTCGTGTTTAAGACAGTTTGGGCCAGGCATGGTGGCACATGCCTGTAATCCTAGCTACTTGGGAGAC